AAATTTTTTTATTGCCTGTACTTTATATTATTTCAAGTGTGATACAGTTATAAACATTAAGCACATTTTTATTTTCAGGTTGGAATATTTTACAACACACATTACAATGGATCCTCCCATGAATTTTTTGGGTCTTTCACATTGATAACGACTAGAACACTGTTATGTTACGCAGAATATTCCTCAGGAAGTGAAACTATAGTAGGATGGGGAGACGTTGGTAAGTACATATCCAAATTTTGAAGGATAAGGGTAATGATTATAAAAATCATACCTCTGTTTCTGGTGGATATACTTTCTACTTTTGGAAAATTGTGATAGTCAAGAACTACTACAGTAGTTATTTGATTGTTATTAATATGTATGCTCCCTACAGTATTATTGGGGTGCAATTTGAATAAGTTATAGACCTATAAATTCCCACTGTCACCTGTCTGTCTGTCCTTCTCTAATTTCGAGAATGTGGTTAGATTGATGAGAATCAAGAATGGATTGGAATGTTTTGGGACAGGAACAATATACAAACTTCCGACGTGTACCGAAAGTCACGTAAATTAAATTTAAATATTTCACCTGAATGGACGTAGATGACTGGCACAACTTTGTTTTTTCTTTTTACTTTTACTTTAACAATAGAGCTGTACTGGTCGTCTAGTAATTACTTTCAGGGAAAAGTTTTTGAATTGAAATAACATGGTTTTCGGTTTGTATGGGAAGTTCGTATATAGTTATTCGGGATCCTCTGTCCATAGCCTTTTCATATCTGATTTCGTCTTTCATGTATCTATCTCCGTTCTCGCGATTAATAAAAGACAGGCGGACAAAAGTGGGAATTTACAGGCTTACAATTTTTTAAAATTGCAGCCAAACAACAGAAAGTATTGGAATCGTATCAAAATTCACCTCCAAGATTTTTGGGAAGCTTCACGTTTTGAAATCTCCTGAACACAGAAATGTCAAAAAAAATCCATCGAGTTTCTTAACTTCTCCGGCAACATTTCGTAGCGCCATCTGTTATCATATTTTTCTATTAAAAACTTCTATATATTTTTTACATATTGAAATGGCAAAAGGCTTCATTTTGAGGGGAGGGATGCGTTTTATAAAAATTGTAAATGCTAATAACGAGTAAAATCGTCATTAAGTCCGATCTTATAGGAGATACCCACGACACCTATCATCTACTCACCCTTTCGACCTTTAACCACCAAAATTTAACAGTATAAATCCCCCTAATAAACAAACAACCCTGCAAAATTTCAAAAGTTTTCGACACAGTGGCGTGCCGAGACATTTGATGATAAGGAAGCTGTGTTTCTGTAAGAAGCCGACGTCCAGGGGCAATCAGTCAGTGATGGTCTAGGGCAGGCATGGCCAACATACGGCCCGCGGGCCGGATGTGGCTCGTGTAATGGATTTATGTGGCCCGTCATTAATCTTTCAATATTAGCTACTCAAGTCAGAATAGACCGGTGAAAAATTCTAACGCCTAAAACAAAACAAAAATGTCAACAACTCACTGTCCGGTTAGAGTTAACCCTCATTACAAATCTCTTAAGTACAGCGTAAAACGTTGATAAAGCATGATAATGTGAAAAATGTATCTTTAATCTCTATGTACAATTTAGTCTCTACGGGGTGACACAACAATGAGATCTCGCATCTACCTCAAAATCTTTCTAGGCAGTCTCTGGTTCGGCCGGTGAAAAAAGTTGTCTTTCCAATTTGGCCGGGGGGCAAAAACTGTTGGCCACCCCTGGTCTAGGATCTATTCGTATTCGTTTGTTTGATAAGCCAGTAAAAAACCGTAGACTTCTCTAAATGTATTTTTAATTAATAGATTATCTAACACACTCAATAAATATACAAGTTCAATATAATTACCTCTGTTATTAAATTCAATAGATTCCCTGTAAATGCCAATTCTCGCTTCGATAACATCTACTAATTTACATATAATAGATCTATTAGCCGTAACTATCTCGTTATAATTTTCAATATTTATTTTATATCGTTTACTAATGTTAAATTCTATTCTATTTTGATTTGCAAATTGCTTCAATTTTACGAAAGAATCGATGCGAGATTTAGGATTTTCGTGTCTTTTGCTAGCTTTACTAAAATTATTTAATATCACAATTACATTCTAAATCGCTAGCCATAATATAAAGGCTAAAATTAAAAATAAAATTATAAAAACTTGTTAAAATGAAATGTGTGGTGGATATACAATTATACATATCTGGTACAAAATATTCTTCAATTGTACGAATAGTCTATACTTTTAAAGAAAATTATAATTAAATATAGTTTTGTAAAGAAACGTACGTAAACATAACATAAAATATTTTTTACTTTTTAAATATTAAAACACTCCACTTAGTTAAAATTGCTCCCTACCAGTGGCTCGTGGATGGAATCAGAGACGGTCTTGGTAGGTGTGCAGTGCGTGTATGCGTGCCAAATCCCGAGGGCGCCGATACAGGTTAATTAATGTCAAATGCCTCTTTTGTCGCATCACTAGGACGCGACAGGGTTGTTGTAGATTTTAAACGTTTCTCGCCATACTTGTAAAAATCTAAATTTGTTAAACTTAACACTCATTTGTTTTCTAACTAATCCATTTTAAGACCAGGTGTCCACGGAAATTTCCAAAATTTACAACTTTTAGTCACTTTCATTGAACTGGAAAAATTTCTGTCTTTATTATATCTAATATTACGAAGAAATCAGTTCACACTGTTAAGTTTTTGTTTAAGTAAAATTCCGGCTCTTTCATTAGGGTTTTATTTGTGTCCCCACTTCCCTAAGCGTTTAATTATTTAACTACTTCTTAAGTAGAAATAAGTCGAAACCGGTTACTTTGAACTCGAATATTTGTAGTCTCGGGAAAAAAGTGGAAAGACAAATTTTTGACAACGGATACATAAATCGTAAATTCAAGAAAAATAAATTCTAGAGCTTTTTCTGTACCTCGTGAATCTCTCTCATTCATTAAAAAGTTGTAAATGATGCTGCCAAAGTAACGTTCATTTTTTTTAACATTGTACAAGGATTCTACACGTTTTTTTTTTCTGCATCCCTTATAGATGGAACATACAAAATCGTAATATCACCGGTTTAACATTGAAATCCGTGAGTAATATAAAATCGGAGAGCGGAATAAAAATATCAAATATTTTAATGGATTTTTTTAAACTACTGTCAACTATACAGAACTATCGTAAAAACATACCAGTAAATTCCTATCGGTTGGGTTAAGTTATAAATCTACTCGCGATTCGCGTAATCGGGCGAGGGCGGCCAAATATCTAGCGGGCGGGCGGCTGACAGCCCGGAACCGGTCCCAGATAGAATTGGATGCGTTATATGTGTAGCATCCACCCGAGGTCCTAGGCTTCCACCGGTTTAGCCGGTGGCAATACAGCGCTTTCACTCCGCCACTGATATTCGAATATACAATAGCAATCTTATCTGTTTTTTTCACGTGTAGTAACTTATAGAAATTTGTAATAAGATGCATAATGCGGTTATAATAAAATATTGTGCGATTATTTTCATATAATTAAAATTATTATGTATTTATTTTTTAGAAAAGGAAAGCGGCGCATCCACCGCTTCTAATGACGGCACGCCACTGCAATGGAGAGGGCAAAAACATATCCCTTTCATCGGAATCCGAAACTAATATATTTCTTTATCTTTTCTCCAGTAGATATTGATGCGACGCAGACGTGTTGACTTTAATCTTTATACGTAGCGTGAATAAAACGAAACAAAAGAAATTAGGTTGGAGAAGGCTTTTATGCTTTTTTTTTTAACCATAAGACTTGTAATTAAAACGTCGAACTTTCATACTTATTGTAGAAGCTCTGAACTTCTGACATCGTATACAGATGTATAAACGTAATAAGAGTGAAAACAAATATAAATTTAGATCGGTTTATTACTACGAGGTCGTATTATAGATTAGATCTGTGAAGTGAGTATTCCAATTGCGTTTCCCTCAAAGTAATTAATGCCGATCATTCGCCCATCCTTCGAGAAAAGTTTCAGCAGTTTTATATAATAGCGCCTACAATTGCATTTTTTTCCAAAACTATTTGTGTCATTTGTTCGCTTACACTATAAGAAAAAGTTTTCTCTTACATAAGCGTTTTGCTAGGACTTCAGCTACAGCCATTGAAATGCCAGCGAGTATATTTCTCGCGATAACTTTAAGTGAGCGAACGAAAGAAGAGACTATCATTTCTCTCCTTCCACTTTTTCTTTTCATCATGCCATAGTCTAATCACTGTTTTTGTATGGCAAGAAAAGAAACATAATAGACAGCATATAAAATATAAATTTTCGTCTACAAGTACGTATCTTCTAATATCAGAACTTATTATACTGGCTTTACAGATAATGCTACAGAGTTTCACAGAAAACAATTTTTTATTTTAGTAAATCAAGGATATTGAGGCATTTTAATTAGACAGCATATATTTTAAATTTAGTTAATTTGTAATATTTGCTGTCTATTTTAGTAGTGTGTACTGTATTGCCCTGTACACCATACTTTTCCTGATAACAGTAGAACCAGACCGGTCATCTATCTAACTCACGGTTCTAGAAAAAGTTTTGAATAGAAATAACGCGACTTCTGGTTTAGACCGAAAGTTCATATATAGTTTATGGGGACCTCCTGTTCCAAGGCTTTCAATATCTAATTTCGACTTTTACGTATTTAACATTGTTCTCGAGAATAAAGAAGGATATACGAACAGAAAGAGAGACAGACACCAAACTACAATTGCTATCACTCCTTTACTCGCCCCCCGCGATCTACGACCGGGAATGTGACAATTAAATCTTATAGCACCCTTTCTCTCCTTCTGTTGGCAAGAATAAGTCACACGTTTGTTGACGTTGGTTTACGGCCCGTCTCCCATCGATGGAAGAGGTCTCGGCCTCAGACAAATATAGATAATAAGATCAGATATTATAATGCAATATTCTTTATTTTTTCGTTTAGTAAGCATTAAGTTACATAGAACCAACAGTTCTTCGATACAAATCAATGGCTCCTCTTTACTTTTTGCCGCACTTGTTAGTAGCTTTCTCCCAGACTTTGGCATTCGATGGAAGACCTTCGCACCAACACGCCAGACCGAGAAAATAGCAATAGCCGCTCTTTCCCTTCATTGCTTTGCACGTGTTGTCGCACGATTTGCTGTTGATCACGCACCAAACTTTGCAGCCTTTGTTATCCATCGGGTAACCATCTTTGCTTTCTACCACTACATCTGTAAATACATAAATGTACTATAAATTAGTTTAGCCTATAGGTGAAGCTACATTTCACTGTGTCTATACTTGACAAGAATCAATAACTGAAGAGTGCAAAGAAAAATCTGTCGTAGAGAAATCACTCGGTATACTGAAAATGACATTCATTAATCGTTGAGCAATATCGACGATTAATAAATAACGGCTCATGTCTCATATTTTTCGATTATTGTTCTTTATTTCATATTTATAAATTTAATAAAATTATTCTAAATTATGTATTTAGTAATTTGGGATCTTTGAAAAATAATAGCAAATCGTAAAATAAAGTAGTAAATTCTCTGTATATAATTTTATTTCGCAAATTTCAAAAGAAAATGAAATAAATTGAAAATTAAAATTAAATAACAAAATGTATTCAACTTACCAATTACCATTAAACAACAGATGAACAGAAGGAAACTTTTCATGGTGAAGATAAATCTTACACTCCACTTGAGTCAAGGGACAATGAGATTTGTGAGATTTGTATCTTCTTATAAATTACACGATTATATATATATATAATTTCTCTGCCAATACTTCTCTGTGATTGGCTATTTTATATTAATCCGACATCATCTGTTTCTTTTACTTATTGTACTTTGGCCAATGAGAAACATTCGACGGATTAACTGAACATTGAATACTAAATTTTCGAAAACTGTTTGAATTATTTTATTTATTATTTCGCACCGCAATAAAACCTCTGTCAGATTGTTATATAGTTTCACTTCTATATTCTTCGAAACAATGTAAATAAAATTGTTTGTATCCTTGTCTACTCGGTCAAAGTATCCTATATTTTACCGGAGAAATGTCGGATTAAGAAGACTACCGGATTATTATACGTATGGTGAATTCAATGGTACATAAACGAATTTGAACGTCCGTTCTTTGACTAAATTTAGTGAAAAGTACAGTATTTTGGTGGAAAACTTCCAGGAATGATTTCTACACGTATACAGCACGTAGCCTTTTTCGAACAGTCTGGTATTACAAGCGTAGAAATATTTAACATCGTATCTAATCTGCGGCTCCATACGATGCCACGTTTATTGGGAAAGTATTTAAATTTATCTTTAGTAGAAACTAGAGTTTAAACTAGTAAAAAAGCGTGTCTACGACTTTGAACGTCTTCATACGTTTATATGTTTAATTTTCATTTTCATTTCAAACTTATTAATTCTGTGTAATGTTTTTAATAATTAAGAATTTGAAATATTTTAGAGTTAATTAAAAAAAACAAAAGGGGTATATTTAATTGGATTTTTGTATTGAAACTATCAATTTACAAGCAAATAGATGATGAAAGATTTGGGAATCTTCACATAAAATAAAGTTTTGCAGCTGGACTTTAAATATTTGTTAATGTTATATTAGAAGATATTTATCTGAGCCACAATTATAATTATTTATTATCATTTTATTTATTTTATTACAAAGCTGTAAGCGGTATAAAAGCATAAAATTGATTATTCCGTATAAAATTTATAACTAAAGTCGTTTATATGTTTAGACCAGAGACTATTAAATTTTATTGATAGGTCATTTAATAAATACGGATACGAAAAGACTTTTTTTAGTACTTGATGAGTTTCTCTTTTTATTAATCATCGGCTATATAATTTTCTTTTTATGTGACTTTATTCATCTAAAATAAATACGAAATTTATGCTGAATAATTTGCAAAAATTAAATCAAACGTTCTTTAATATTTAATAAATAAACTTTTATTAAACCCTTCAATCTTAGTAAAACTGCCAGGATAATAATTGCAAAATTAATAAAAGGATTTTCCATGTCCTTTCTCACAGTAAGAAAGGACTTTATTGTGTAGTCTTAAATCGTTTATTAATAAGATATATTATTGAGTTAGCAGCAAGCCAGTGGCACAGTTAATCCGCTAAAATATATGTCGTATTATTTCTCAGTCGTAGTCTTGGGGTAGAGTGTAGGATGAAATAACACGTCCGTTCACTTTGGGGTCCTCACTAGAACTCTGCTTTATTGTTTATTGGTGTTGTTAATCTCATTCCAAAAGGAACGAGATTAACAAAGTAAATTACAGAAAAATATATACAAAATTTACAAAAATTTTAAATATGTTAAATGCCCCCCTCCTGAAAAGGCGACATCAGGGAGCCTCAGGGAGGTTGGACTGGGTGTTACACAATTTATCAGCTTGAACTCTGAAGTTGATTGGATTATAATACGGTAAGTTTTTATCCACATCAGTTAATTTATTTAATAATTGGACAGGTCTGTCTATTTCTACGTTACAAGGAGATACTATCTTTAATATGGTAAAAGGTCCATGTTACTTGGAAGCAAATTTTCCTTGGTCGGGATGGAAAAAGGTTTGTAGCAGTATTTGATCTCTTACTTTGAAGTTTGGAGTTTGGTGTTGACTATTATATTTATTTCTGTTTCTTTCGTGAGCTATTTCAGTTCTTTCGGTGGCAATCTTACGTGCTTCGCTGAGAGAGGGATAATTCAAGTTGTGAGGTGAATCGGGGGATTTCTCCGTACATCAAAAACATTGGAGGGAATCCTTTTATAGTATGGGGTGTTTGATTACATTCTTTATAACGTCACGTAACATTTGAATCCAGGATCGTTTTGGATTTTCTGAATATTTTATTCTTAGTCTAGAGACAAGTGTGGCGTTTAGTCTCTCAACTATCCCGTTGTTCTGAGGTCGCTGAGTACTTGTTAAATGTTGTTTGATTCCATTCCTTTCTAAATATCTTCTGAATCTTCAGGAAGTAAACGAAGATGCTCTATCTGTTAGTAGATATTTTGGGCTGCCTGTTTGTAATATTAATATTTTGCCTACACAATCTATGTAGACGTTTATAGAAGTAGATTTGGATGGGAAACACCAAGCAAACCTAGAAAAGTGATCGATGGTGACATGAAGATAGCCTTTCGTAGATCCGTACCTTTGCATTCCAGAGACAGTATCCATAGATAACATGTCAAATGGAGCTTTTGATGAAGATAAGTCGCCTAACAAGCCAAACTTTTTATGATTATATGTCTTTGCTTTCTGACAAACATCACAATGTTTAACAAACTCTACAACATCTTTGATGACATTTGGCCAATAGTAATGTGGACTGATTCAGTGGCGTGCCGTGACATTTGATGATAGGGAAGCTGTGTTTCTGTAAGAAGCCGACTTCCAGGAGCAATCAGTCGGTGATGGTCAAGGGTCCATTCGTATTCGTTTGTTTGATAAGCCAGTAAAAACCGTAACTTCTCTAAATGTATTTTTAATATCATGATTACATTCCGAATCACTAGCCACGATACAAGGGCTACAATTAAAATAAATTATGAAAACTTACTCGGTGAAATAAAATGTGTGGTGGATATACATACATACCTGGTACAAAATATTTTTCGAATATACTTTTAAAAAAAAATTATAATTAAATATAGCTTTGTAAAGAAACGTACATAAAATTAACATAAAATATTCTTTACTTTTTAAATATACATGTTGTATGTTATGATTGTATGTTGTATGATAAAAAATCCAGCCTGTCTGATACGTTTGTAAGCACATGGTGAAATAGAATGCAGCAAACATGGAAATACCATAAATGAAGGACTGTATATATTTTTTTAGAAATTATTAATGACATTTGTTCAATGATAAAGTTGACATTTTTCCTTTTCTCAAATTCAGATAGATCTAAAGTCTTTAGAACATTTACTACAAAATTTAAAATCACTTCAACATTCTCTGGGTTTTTAATTTCTGACTGTCTTTTCAATTAATTCCAATAAATCAAGATGTTCATTGACAACAACAGAATATGTTATTACTGAAGCAGATTTTTGGTCAGTATTCAATAACATTATTGAATCGAGACTAGTAATAACATTCCAGAAATTGGAAAGATTCAACATTGATAATTTCTGTTGTAAATCACTTAATGATGATAACTTTTTAGCTTCCATGTAATTTTCTCTTTCTTTCAAGCTTTCTGAAGGTTTTCTTCTTCCAACTTTTGTCTCTTTACTTGTGGACTCTCTCTGTAAGTTGTTGATTTGCTCAAGTATTTTGGACAGTTTGGAAAAATAGATGGAACTGCTGTTGGTAGTAAAAAGGGCATCCTTTATTTCTTGAACTCTGTTGATGTCCTTACAATTTCAGATGGATAAAAATGTTGCTCACACACCTGTATTAAAATAAACAAAAAATAGTTAAAACAATATTTTAATTGTGTATTCCTTTAATAATTAGACTACTAAAGCATTATATTATACTAATAAAAAATAAAAGAGAATAGATGTTGAAAGTGTCTATTGTGTGAAGTATACTGTATATGTGAAGTATACTATATCTAAGTATATGTAATGTGAAGTATACTATATATATAATAAATTTGTTTAGAGACAGATTAACAACCCTGTTTATAATAGAGATTAAAGTATAAATAAGTGAAGTTTTCATTTTACTTTCAACATTGAAAAAAACACTATATATATACATCATGAAAACATTGTCATTGATAATATATTTCTATCAATTAAATATTCAAAAATTACTGTTCAAAGCTTTTCTATAACGTATGATTATTTATTAGCAGTGGTTATTTTTATGTTATTTGAGTCACTATCAATTCAGTTTATGTTTAACATTAATTCACTTACCTTTGTTGTTTTGCTGACAATTAAGTTGTCTCTAGAAATGACTCGTTTCCATTTTTCTGCTAATTCAGCTTCCTTTGAAAATGAAAATAAGCTTACTTGTACAGTACTTTCGGTCCGGTCGGATAGTTGCCTTTACAACCAGTTACACAACACCTGTACGGCTTTTTGCACGACTTTATCACGTTTACAAATCCCTAATATTTATAAAAAGCTTCCGTAACACAGTCAACAAATAACAAACCCAAATATTCTAAGAAAATTACCCAATATTTCAATTTAATTACGATTGTAAGCACGAGCACCAAACTTAATAGCATATGACTACTCGTGTAATGGCGGACGATAGTTATCCTATGAGCACTCAGGCCTGATTATCTAAGTGGCGTTGCTAACATCCATACATGTAGAAAAACCGACGTTTAAAGGTCCCCAGTTCAAAAATTTAAATATGTCGGGAGGATCATTTTTTGATCGATCGCCAAATTTTCCCTCTGTTATGTAACAGCCATGAACTAAATGACATTAATAATCAGTACTTTATGTATATATATTTTAAATATACATATTTATTTGTATGTATGTAGTTAAATAATTCTTTACGAAATCAGATTAAATTAATCTTATGCAATGCATACACTTGACATCACGTTGGGGTTTGTTTTTACCAAGTTTCTAAGCGTGAACTCATTTTGAATTCTGAAAATTTGAAGAAGCGTTGTAAACGAATAATCGTCACAGCATATTTCCTCGGAAATAACGAAAAAATTCGACTATTTTCAGACGTTATTTGCGAAAAAAATATGCTTGCTTGAGGACATTTATTTCAAATTAATATTTGTTTGCTTCTCTTTAATGCAAATGAGATAGTACTTTACTTTCGATGATGGCAGAGACAACCTCCGAAATTGAAAACATGTTCATTGCAGAATCAAAAGTAGTAGGGATAAATATGATAACCAGTTGGAGTCTACAATACAGTTTTGTTAAAAGGGCCACAATGGTTAATCTCTCTGTCAGATTTCCTCCTGAAGTTGACGTTCGATTGAGTAACATAATACAGTTGAGATTTGCATTGGGCTTAACTGCTGTAATGTTAGTTAAGATATTGTTTCATGTTTTTCTCGATATGAATCTGTACATGGCAATGAAAACGACCACTAATTTTGAATTCCTTTTTTGTAATGTCGATTGGGCGGTGTTAGTTGAAGGTAATTTCTTGCACATTTTTAGGAAAGAATATTTTTATATTTGTTCATTATTAATTAGATGCTGGATTTCATGAAGAGGTTTGGAAATAATCTAATTGGAATTTCCATTTAATTATGTGCCATTTACGATATTTTAAAGAGTAAAAATATGTTATTGTTTACATTTCCTATTAAAATTTGTTTAATTTCATATATATGAAAATTTCGTCTCAAGTAATTAAATATTGTATTTATATTATAATTATTTTCTCAAGATTTTAATTTTTAATTAATTACACGTAATCCATGCGCTTTCTTTGCTTAAAAGAATTAAGGAAGATTTTCTGTTCAATTATTTTCAAATAGAAAAACGGAACAATGATAACAAAATATTGAAATGAATACAGATAAAAGAGTTGTGTAGCCCACCAATGGGTAAGTACATTAATTAAACATGTGCTGCGCGAACCGCGGGTCACGACCCCGCTGGGGATCGCGAGAAAATTTTTCGGGGTCGCCAAATACAATTTACATAAAGCTTAAGACTTATTATACAGAAAGTACACTTTGAATCTTCTATTTTTATTTTTTACTTTTCTTTTGATTGCTTAGTTTAACAGGATAAGGTAACGGAATGAAGTTGTTAATCGAACTACAGTATCGAGGAATAAAGTTGTTAATCGAATTACAGTTAATGAGGGATGCCTGGGAGAACTTTCCATGGAAACTGACCGACAATTTAGGAAGGCAACACGAAAAACTTCATGTGGCCAGCTTGCGGCGACCTGCATTCAGCGGTTTTATCCATTCCCCTACTGACGAGTTCGCTTTGTTCTATTGTAAATATATAACTGCTATCTTTGATACTTCTTGTGTATGATAATAATTATAAATTTATTTCAAGAATTAATTTAGTCTAAGCGCACTTAATTCTGAATGTGATTGATTATTGATTGAAAAATAATGTCAAAGTCTGTTCCTATGGTGAATACATAAAATAACATTTCGAAAAAAAGTTATACTGAAAACACAACTAAATTATTCTGCGATTCACAGAAATGTCACTTCACCCTCACTATTATCTTTGATAAAATCGCAATAAAAACTAGTCGACATGTAAACTATGACACGCGTAGATTGGTCCCTTGCGCTGACTACACCAATCAGAATTTGCCTTCCAAATTGATCCTTGCGTGTCAAAGGAGAACCGGAATCACCCTGAAATTGTATTAATATATTAACTGTGAGAAATGTTAAAATATTTATATAACTTTAGACTTAACTTACTTCCATTGCTATAATTCCCGAATCCCTCGAAATGATATCAGTTCCTTTTAAAGGAAATTGAAAACGTTTCAGCCATGGCGATGGATCTGTAAGCGTTACAACTGCTGTTTGAAGATCATCGCAAGCTAAGTCTAAATTTTATCATCGTGTAAAAGAAATTTTATAATATATACTTATATAATAGAAGAACAATTGTTTAACTTAAGAAAATAACTTACTTTCTCCTATCCTTCCCCAACCTGCTAAGGTGGCGTGTCCTGAAATATATGTTTGGTTTCTATCAGCTACTGCTACTGGATATAATGTTGGTGTACTTACGATGGGCTTTTTCAGAATTAAAAGAGCAATGTCATTTTCGAATGTGTCCGGATCATAATTAGGATGTATAATTTTTCTTTTAAAAAACACCAAGGAACATTTCTTTTTGTTAATACCTCCAACTGCTCCGTAAATGTCTGTGACCAATGAACTTGTCTCGAGTCCTCTGGTTACGTTCGTACTAGGTTATGGTAGGTTAGGTTAGTTATTGAATAAGTTAGCGTTTAAAAAAATAATAAATAATAATTAAAATACAAATAAATAATAAAAAATTGGTGGTCTTTCTTGTCTCTGTCAATCTATCCGACTTGTCTAGTTTGTCATTCTGTTCGTTTGCTTTTCGCGCTGTTTGTTATCCTGTTAAGTAGTATTAAGATTCGCGATCGCATTCAGTTTTGTTAGTGTTAAGTAGATATAGCCTAAATTTTCCTACTAACAGCCACTTGGCACTAACTTCTACACTTAGCTATTCGTGGAGACACTCAATTATTGGTGTTTGCTACACTGAGGCTTTTAGATCCTACGGGGACTACGGTCTTGCAGCCTAAAAACTGTACGCCAACATCAAACATAGAGGGTACTGTAGTCATATGTACAGTACGCCGTTCAGAGGGATCCTACCTTTCTCTATTGCCTATCACCGCTCCCTCCTTCTTTCCTTCCGTTTCCCGTACTCTCTTTTCTGCCGGCTAAACACTTTGTGTACGGGAGATTTCTTTCTTGTATGTATGTACGACCAATGAACTAAAAATATATTTAAAAAATTATAATTAAGTTTCCGTATACAGAATAAATTAATTAAATTTGTTCAAATATGTAGAGTAAAGCATGTTTAAAAAGGAATTTGTCTAAAACGGTACCTGCCTAAACAAAAAGAGTTTGCTACCATGTTATTTAATTTATATACCTTGTATGTATTATTGTATTTAATTTAAATGTATTATTTTCGGAATTAATATTCGTGTGCAATATGCAAAAAAGAAAACCAGGAATTATCATATTACAGTCTCGGTGGACATCAGCATTGTTGTCATCATCTCTTGCTTTCTCCAACATGAACAACATACTCTAAGCATGTTTGGCATGTTTATCTCATAAATACATTATTCTGAAGTTCATGTTCTTTTATCGTCGTTAAAATCGCCAGCTCACAAGCCCAATGCGAAGCACGATGCTGATTAGCAAGAATATGAGATGTTTGCGCCATCTTGCTGTTCCGGGGCACACCGTGGCAAAGGGTGGTAAATACATTTGGCATCCTGGAAAGAAGGTGGTAAATGTACTTGCTTCTGTCTTTCGTTAATGATACGTTATATCTATGTCTAATACCATCTTCTTCCACGATCAAACTGTAGAATTGATAAAGGTAACCTTTTGAATTTTTTATCGTGAGATAGATAAGCGTTTACCCTATTCCTTCGCACCACTAACTGAAATTTCACGTAAATCTTAATTACCACCTTTTTCTGCCAAGCCTTTCAATTGCAATTAAGAATATTATTGATTTAAATGTATGCATTTTTTTCTAGGTACAAGTGCAAAACTCAAGTTTTGTCCATCATATGTTCTACTGATGACGAGTAATTGGTCATGGGTTCACAACTGACTAGTTTAAATTATTAAAATATTAAAATTGATTAAACGTACTGATGTATGACGTGGGCAGCTCCAACTGCTGTTTTGGTAGTAATCAATGAAAATGATCCTTTAAAGTATCCTCTACGGAAAATAGCCATCTGTAATTAAAAATATACAAAAGAATAAATTTATTGTATTGGAATTTATGAATCTTTTTCCTGCATAAATCTTCTTAGATCTTACTATAAATGGTACTTCACCCTTTGTAGCAGGAGTGCCTCCAATCATCCGTCGCATCATTATTCCTATTAGATTTATAGAAAAGTTCCTTTAGATAAAATTAATATTGTTAACTAAATTTTTCGATCAAATAATTACTTGAATGACTCCTGTAGTTTTCTGATAGATTAATGCTTAGCATGCTTAAAAGGATAATAAATAACAACCTGAAAATATAAATATTTTTAGTAATTTCATTTTAAAACATAAAGAAAATGTTTAGGTGTAGTTGATTGCATTGAATTTCTTATGGAGTGTGTCATTAAAGGAATGAAGTGCCTGAAGTGTTTTCCATTTCATTAATTAGTACCACAAGTTTTTTCATTGTGGAAATTCATTGTTAAAGTTCTATTACAGAAATTGGATACCTAAAGTCGATTTCATTGATTGACAATAGAATAGATAGCCTGATTGGGGATTTCGGAATAATTTATAGATTCAAATTTTGAAAACGTATAAAAATGGAGGTTTGATTCCTAATTCTTGTCTGTGAACCTTCGTAGTAATTAACAGAATTCTTTTACCATAACGCGCGTCGTGTTATCATGAATAGTGAGAATAATATAAATATAAAAGACAGCACAAAACATTCTTTTATACAGAAATTTCTGTACTGTAAACCAAAGACTTTCCTATTTCACAAAGTGATAATCATTCAGCGTACCTGCCTGTTGGTCAGGCATGATTTCGTGCTTATCCTCATATAGGCTAACAACTCTAAGCAAATTGTCTGCTCTGCCAAATCGCATTACGGAGAAACAAAGAGACTGTGCTTTAATCATCGATCAGCCAGTAATCACTGAAGTGTCTTGGACAATATAAGTCGAACCCAGGATAAGTGCGCGGACTCTAGCTCTGGCTATGGTAGTACAGCCCATTGGGGACCATCCTTCCTTGCCTTCTTCCCTTTCCTTGCCTTCATCCCTCTCGAGTGAAACTTTCTAATATAAGCCTACACTTTTCCATAGCGTTAAGCTGTTTGTACATACTTAACCAAAAACTGAGTAATGATAATCTCTGAGTTATCTCGTCAATGGGCGTTAAGGGGATTTATTAATTAAATTAAATTAATTAATTAACTTTTCGGACAGTGTGGCCCCCTTCCCAAAAGTGGCCTGCCCAGCGTATAGCCAAGCTATGGGTCTTAGATTTCATAACTATGTTCCGTCAATTCTTTTAAGTTTCATGAGCATTACTCTTCTGTTGCAGGTCAGGTGAGTTCTAGTCATCACCCTTGCCTAGCCCTTAAATAGCCTTATCTACATTGGCCATTTAATGAGTGGGTCCCGAATGCCCCACATTACTTTAGAATGGGCAGAGGGGCTCTGAGTTAGCCCTGCCCAGTAAAACATCGAGCTGTAGGTCATAGATATACTTTGCGATGATCTGCCGATTCCTCTCTGTTTTAAGCAAACATCAGTTGATAATTAGCCATAGTCGGTTCGAGACCGAAGTACAGCCAATTACAAGGACCGAAGTACAATATCATAACTAATTTAACCATTGTTGGTCAGGTGTAAACGCGCAATTAATAACAAGTGTTTAGTAGTTATTGAAATACTGTAAATTGATTTATTTATAAACGAACTTCTTGAAGAATTATTATTATTATTATAAAAATGTTGACAAAATGATTATGCCAAAATTGGACTGGGAACACAGAATAATTTTTAGACCTCTTAGGAGAAGAATTATTTTTTCCTGGAAAGATTTCAGCGCAGATCGTAAGAATAAATAGTAGTGAATGACAGCGAACCAAACTGCATTAAAATGCAATGTAGGCCTATGTCCCTGAAGCGTGTATAGTTTGAAATCAAATTTTATTGTTTATGCAGATTTCACAGTGGTTACCTATTTTCAACGATGATTTATACAGGAAAATGTATCGTTTTCATTTACAAATGTACAAAACTGCCAATAACATCACAAATAGTACTGCCAGTACTTGAGGAATAATCAACAAGCGGTACTGTCTCACAGCATCTACTATTATATATCATTTTGCGGCGTTTATCTTATAGCATAAGATAGATATCCGTGGAACTACGCGAGTGAATTGAAAAGATTCAGCTCTGATTAATCGGGCAACTAAACCGAAAAAGCACGAATTGGTGGCCGTAAAAGGTGAAAAAGTACAATAAATGGCATCAAAAAAAGAGATTGCTATGTACAGTACTTACGAAGAGAACAGATAAATCAAATCAACGAAATACTACTGTACCGATGGAACTGATAGAGAGATACTTTACTTGTTTTATTCCACCAATGGCAAAAAAACAGTCGACGGCAAGAGGCACGCAGTATACTGCAAAATGAAAATAAAAAGTACTCGTTACGCTGCACCATTCTTTCATATTTGTCACAGGAAACAAACGATTTCAATTTTTAACATTCAAATCCACAAAGAACAAAAATGCTGCGGAAAATCAAGGATCTTCTACGTATGGGCTTATAGAGTGAAAGTTATATGGAAAAAACTGTGATAGTTGTACCAAGAATAAAACAAGCAGTGAACGATTACATAGCCACGAATACAGAAAAAAATTGGAGCTGACGAGATCACCAACGCAATGTCCGAAATTCCTGATCATTATTAGTATCATATTTCCACAGTATGCTGTACTTCCAGACAGTTATACGATCTTCTAGCTTACAATAATTGTTTTCTGGAGCCGCATAAACAGAAAAGTAAGTAGCCAGAAGAAACTTGATATGGGAAAAAATTTTCACAGGAAACATAGTTCCATTGTATAATATTCAGTGGCATTTGAAAGGTGATATTTTGCTTTTTGTAGCATCTCACTTTATCTATACTTGTACAACAATCATGATGAGAAGAGCTGCGTTAAATTATTTCGATTTAAATTTCTCTAAGTAAACATTTAGAGAATTAACTGATCGAATGATTGGTATTCACTGTCTTTTTCAGTATCAGTTGCTTACATTATAGAGGTTTCAGTTGCCTTCCAGTACGTTAAACGATAAGAAAGTATTCATGGTTTTCGGGTCAGGTTTGTTCATTTACTGGTATGTTTTGGAGTTTGTATAGTGCGTGAAGATGACGAGTCCTTGGAGAGATAAAAACTGGTCTTATTTGCGGAGTGTAGATTTCAATTTAAATGATTGCAATGGAAGTATCATGTAAATAGGAATGGTGGTATGTTCTTTTATAATAATATGTAGCGAAGTAAAAAAAGAACAGTGCTTAGAATTGTTATTTTCTTTCACTCAAAGTTTCAGATCAACAAACTTGAAATTATGGCCAAACAAGTTTATCAAAGATGTTTAAATATACTTTTCTACACTAAAACGTATAAGAATGTAAAAAAAATAAAATATAATTTCACTTGGCAACCAT